GATTCTCAAATCGTACACCAGTCACAGGCGCGGACACCACACGCCTTTACACTAGCAAGGGCAGTAAATCCGCGTGTGAGTGGTACTGTAGTTGTTTGGGTAGTTAGTTCTGACCTTTTCTGTTGTCAGTAATTAAAACCAACAGTGACAAGATTGTGTACAGCTCACAGAAGCCTCCGTGTCAGTGACCACTTTCCAGTTATTCTGCAGGTCAAGACCTGTAATTTCCGACACTAAATTAGCCCAGCTTCATTACAGGCTTAGCTACAGAAGTACATCATAACAGAATCATAACAGGAGAAACAACCGTTGCTTAGCCAAATAGCTATTTTTGAAGAAATTATGCTAACATTGTTTTCTTACCTTAATACACACTTTTTCCTGGTGAGATTTGATTTGATTTTGTTTTTTATTTGATTTGATTTTTTTTTATCTTTGGACCCTACATTCTCTTCACATTCAAATCAAATTTTAACATATACTAATTATATCATTTACAGTCTCAGATATCGTAGATTAATGAGTTACTGTTAAATGGAAATTCTTCATACAGAAGGTCTCTGAAACACTTTGTTTCCTAAGTGTTCATATTCTTTCCTGATTTGTTTGTTTGAATACTATTTGACAGGAACTCTTGGCGTACAGTTGATGAACCTGAAAAGTAAAGGCTTTTCCTCAGGGTGGTATTCTTAGCTGTTTTCCTCTGGGAGAGGTGTTTTCTGTGTAAAACCTTGGTGCTGTGTCTGTTTTGTCATATTGTTTTGAACAGTGAAATTTGTACTGCCCAAATCTTGTATTTTTAGTTTCGTTTTTACTTTAGTTCAATCAAAGGGGACGATGGAAAATAACTTGCTTTATTTTTATACACTGTGTCACTACACTTGCATACATTTTGATACTGTTTTTCTTGCTGGTCAATAAAATTGCTCATTTTGAAGGGGACCGGAGCAATGTCACCAGTTTGTGAGTCACCACTTGTCAACAGGCTCGTCCTAAGAGCCTGAAAAAGATGGAGCTACACTACAAAATGAATGTGCGCTGTTTTATTTACTTTTATTTAACCGAACTGTTTCAGAATTTATATTTTAATGGGTCTTTTAAGTGGAAAAAAATGCCACTGGGTGTAGACAATAATAAAGTAAATTCTAATTCGAATTTCTCCTTTGCTGTACTGTATATAGGGGCATGCTGTTCACAGGGAAAGGTGACAGGCAGGAGTGAATTGAGGGCGATTCACACGTCAGGGGCTAGGGGGCAGCCGCACGCAGAGGGGGCCTCGCAGTATGTTCCCACACACCTCTTCGTGAGCTGTCGCTGTGCAGCTCCTCTGCGCATCAGTTTGTTGTTTTATGTAATACAAAAGGAAAAATACAACAGACAGGGGGTATATACATGCCAATATACAGATCGCACAACATGATAGAAGAAAGGTATCATCAGTGAATGAAACAGAACAAAAAAAATACTACACAGGTTTGTTGTTTTTTTATTTAAAAACAAAAAAAGGGCAAATACCCCAAACGGATATATGCATACAAATATACTGATGTCTCAACATGACACAACAAGGTAGCAACAAGTGAATGAAACGGGGAAAAGGGAAAAACAACACAAAAAACACTTTGTCCACGGTACAGAGGTCATTAGGAGTGTTAGGAGTTACATGAAATACGTTTATGTGCTAAAATACTTTAGTAGACCAACTCACCAGGCTTATTTTTTAAATATTTTCAATGAATTCGTTTTTCTTGAATAAGTTAGAAAACATTTTAAAGCTTATAGGATTATTTTTACTCTACATGTGTGTATGTAAAACCTTGCAAACAAGAGAATAACATTTACCATTATACGGACTTCTTTGTTTGGATTCGAGACACCGAGAACAATATCTTTAAAAGTTAGATGTACACTAATATTACTATCGTATAGCCAAGGACAAACAGAGTGCCAGAACGTTGTTGAATGGTGACATGAGAAAAAAATGCGCATCGATTCCCAGAAAAGAACGGCAATGGCGCAAACACTGACGTCAGAGGACGCGCGACCCGGTGACGTCGTTCTCGGGTGACGCAAGCGGCACCTGCTGTGCGTACTTTATCGTCATTAACCGCATTTAACCTTTTCTGTAAGAGGCAACTCTTCTATACCCCTGATGATGTTATATGTACTCGTGTGCGTATTGTATATATTGTTGTTATTATTGGCAGCCCAGTGAAGCTCAGCAGGTGTGAGCCGGGCAAGTACCTGGATTAGATACTCCTGGGAGAAGCTCAGGTTGCTGCTGGAAGAGGTGTTAGTGGGACCAGCAGGTAGCGCTCACCCTGCAGTCTGTGTGGGTCCTAATGCCCCAGTATAGTGACGGGGACACTATACTGTAAAAAAGGCGTCGTCTTTCCGATGAGATGTAAGACCGAGGTCCTGACCCTCTGTGGTCATTAAAAACCCCAGGGTGTTTCTCGAAAAGAGTAGGGGTGTAACCCGGGCGTCCTGGCCAAATTCCCCCCTGGCCTTTACCCATCATGGCCTCCTAATAATCCCCATCTCTGAACTGGCTTCATCACTCTGCTCCCCTCCCCACTGAGAGCTGGTGTGTGGGGAGTGGACTGGTGCACTCTGGCTGCCGTCGCATCGTCCAGGTGGGGCTGCACACTGGCGGTGGTGGAGGGGATCCCCATGACCTGCAAAGCGCTTCGAGTGGAGTGTCCAGAAAAGCGCTGTATAAGTGTAAGAAATGGTTTATTATTGTTGTTGTTGCTGCAATAAACCCAGCTGTCTGCCTGCCTGCCTCACCTGACCGGTCTGACGTCACAGGCCCCGCCCCCGAACCCGGAAGGAAAACCCAGGCGTTTGTTGTGGTGCTTTCACTACACTGGAGTGGGACTCTTGTAAGAAAGTGAGACATTAACTCTATCGGTTCAGCGTTCAGGTACTGGTCTCCGTCCATTTCGTGTGTCGATGGTGGTGTCGTTTCTCCCTTGTTTCGTGATTGTACGGTGTGTAGCTGGCAGCCGGCGCCGAGAGAGCCCTGTCGTGTCACTACCCGGAGACACGAAGCATAATGAGGAAATCGCACTCGGGTCACTGTCTGAGGGGAGCAAACGCCGTTAGCGGACTGATATAAGAGGTTTTTTTTTTTTCCCTTTCACTTTTTCAAGAGTCAGGGAAATTAAGTATGGATCCGGCGGCCCTGGAGCTGGACGCCGTGAAATTTGCGAAATCCGCCGTATTCTACGACCAAACCGCAAAATACGACGAAGCCGTCTTTTATTATAAGGTGGGAATGTTGCCGTCGGATTCATTGACCCTCTTTGTCATGAACCAAAAGACACCGAAATAAAAATGCCACAATGATTCTAATTTACTGTATGTGTAGCGGAAGACCAAACCTGCTCGCTGGTCAGTATCTCAGTAGCTAAACATGGTTCAGAACAAAACCACATTACTGTTGATACCCCGGATTTATCGTGATGACCAGCTGAGCTTTGCCTTATAGGATTAGGTGAAGTTAAATAACGCTGTTAAAGGGTTTTACTGTGCCTCCTTTAGAATCAATGCGGAATCAGCAATACCTGATTGTCATTAAACTCATTAAACTGTCACGCTCTGTGACTGCCACAACCACCTTTACTGATTCAAGTCTGAGCCGGGACGTTTGTTAGAGAGCAACGTTTGAATGTAAGCGGTCGTACTGTGTAAAAAAAAAAAACATTTAGCAACAGCAAAATGTCTTTTTAATCGTCCTGGGTGCTCAGAGTGAATAAAAATTGTAAACAGCCACAAAAGGTTTTTCAGTATGTTCCCAACTGCCTTAGCACAAATGATCTAGTATACACTTTTATGTTTACTAGACTTGATCAGTGAATACTTCTAAATCAAGGATAGTGTTAGAACGCCTTTTGTATTCTGCATGACATTTTGAGTACATTCGGTTCCTTAACGACTACGTTATGGTAGCGAAGGCCTGAGAATCTTGTAGTTTTGGAAGCAAAGCAACTAACTATTTGTTATTTGACCCACATCACGTTCCACCCCCTGTTCAATTCTTCTTCCCAGGAAGCTGCTCAGGCCCTGATCTATGCTGGAATGGCGGGCTCCAAGCTGGAGAACATTCAGGACAAGGTGAACGAGTATCTCGACAGAGTGCAGGCGCTCCACAGTGCAGGTGGGTTCCGCCCGTGTGTGCGATTCTGCATGACTCGAGGCAAGACCGAGAAGAAAAGACCTCAGTAGCTTCAGGCTTTTATTTCCTTAGAAAAACCACCCATGTTTTAATAGCTGAAGTTTGTGACATGTTGGTCACATAAATGTCTGTCTAACAATAAGCAGATCAAACCAGTCTGCTTTATCATCTCCCATTCGAAAAGCATGATATGCAATAACGCTTGAATCGCCAAACAGAAAGGGAACACGTTCTCATTTCTTGCATGTTCACAGATTTTTTTTTCACATTCTGTCGATGTTTTCTCAAAAGAATCAATTCCTAAAAACTGCGTTAAACTGCTGAACAGTGTAATCATAATTGATGCTCTGCTGCTTTTTCCTTTTCCTTGCTGCATTAAGAAAAGCTCAGCTTTGCACTGTTCTCCGCACTTCACTGAACCTGTGTGCTGGTGAGAGCATTCGAACGCCATGCATCAGCAGAAATCCATTGTTTTCAACTCTGTCAGTTGTGCTGACCGCTTAACCAGTGCGATTCATTAGAACTGTTAGCTGCTTCTGAAGTGCTGAGCTATGAATGGTTGAATTTTTTCTGTACTGCACGCCGGCAAGCAGCATTGTTAAACTCAGAGTGTGTCCCTCATGGAAACGGCTGAAATCATTCATAGATCGATGGTAATAAATCTTCAGACGCATTTATGAAACAATCTCAAAAAAGGATGTGGGAACTGAGCTAGAGTATAAGCAGCACTGAGAACATGACTTAATAACTAGTGAATTATGGTATAAATTCTAAGTGAAATGATTTGCTATGCAACATCTGAAGCTTTTTTTGTATTTTTGTCAATGAATGAGGTCCAATTTATGAAGTGATGACAATAAATTAAAGGTAACATAAATGTAGAGCTTGCATGTTTTTTGTAGCTGCTATGATTTTTCCAAATTACAGACCTCCTTTAACACATTGTTCCTGCAACACAAACTTAAGTACTGTAGTAATAAAAGTAAGACAATGCCAATTAAGGTCAAGCAAACATGCATATAAAAATGCAGTTGATGTTTTTCAAGGAAATATGATCTTTGAGATTTCAAAAAGGCTGTTTTAAAAGGGGAAGATGGAGCAAAGTATTCGCTGAACTTGTCAAAAGCAATCCTGTTAATGAGACAGGGAATTATAATTGATTGTACAGCATAGCTGTACGTAATATGAAATATTTTTAACTTAATGATTAGGTTTTTCCCTTGTGTGATTAAAAATAAAAGTTCTCTGTGGTGGGAAATTACTGTGAAAGTCCACAGCAGTCATTTTTTCCGTGACTCGTTGAATAAAGAGCAGAGTGTTCTGAGTATGTAGGTGGGAGTTTCATGAGGCCAGGACAGAGCAAACTGACTAGCTACCAGAAGACAAGCTTCGAGGCTGCATGTTTATTTGATGTTTCAGGATTGGACTTCCTGTTGCTTTGAATGTCATACATAATGCATTTCTAAAATTCTCCGATCTGAAAGTAAAAACCTCTATCTCATTAGCACGTTATTGCCTTCTGGCTGACATTGTCCTGTTGGTTGTTTACATTTGTTTGGCACAAACAAATTAACTGTGCTGACAGGACTTCAAGGTTTTATTCTGTGAGTTGAAGAGGTATCTGGATTTCTAAACGAATGCTGCAGGTTTCCAGTGTTGGTTCTTGAGAAAGTGTGACGCGGAATTCTGCACAGACACCGTGCACATTCTTGCTTGTAGGCGCAAAAGAGGCCGTGCGTTAACACCTTTCCTAACGGAAAGAGGTGGTTTTGACTAAATAAAAATAATTTGTTTGAACACCTTTAAAAATACAGCAACTTTTAATGAGTACATCATACATTGTCAACACAGAGCCTTTTGCTTAATTATTTTTTTTTCCCATGCATTAAAAGGGAGGCATTCACGTGGTGTAGGAAAACCACAAATAAAGGTTGGGCAGTCCTCTTTCATGATGATGAGAGCTTTTCAGATGAACTGGGCTGTGTTATGCAGGTCCGAGAGGATGCGCAGGCCAGCCGGTCATGGTTTCTGGCATTGTTCTGATTCAGTCCAGGGCCAGAGCAGTGATCCCTTGAAGTCGAAGCACCAGCTCGACCTGGAGCGCGCCTACTTCCTGGTCACGCAGGCCTTCGAGGAAGACGAGAAGGGAAACGTGGACGATGCCGTCGAGCTGTACACGCAGGCAGTGGAGCTGTGCATACAGACGGTAGGCGAGCGCAGCGACGCGATTCATTCAAGAACGTCTGTGACTTTCGATGTGCGGGTTTGGACAGGTGAGAAAAGACAGAACAGTAGGACAAAATGTTTCTAAGAAACGTGGACCCGTCGTCTTGCTCCCTGTTTGGACATGGCGGTGTTGTTCTTGCAGCAGGGAGTTACGTAGGTGGCGTTGTGCAGGGGTGCAGTGCGCTGCCCACTGGGGCAGTTCCAGTTCGTGTCGCTGCAGTGGGCGGTGTGGAGTGGGAGCCAGCAGTGGAGCTGAAAATACCTTTACAGGGTCAGGGCTCTCGACTGCAGGAGCTGGGCAGTGAGTACGGCCTCCTGTTTCACAGGCCAACGAGACAGCTGACCAGGCGCTGGAGGGGAAGCTGAAGCAGCTGGCTCGGCAGGCGCTGGACCGGTGGGTGCCCTCTCCTCGTACCGGACGCAGAGGAGCGAGCGGAGGTGGACTGATCCTCTGATCATCCCATCGTAGGCTCTGCGCCCTAAAAATGGCATATTGGATCTCCACAAGGGAGCGCGCTGCACAGTTCATCCTCATAATCACTGATCCTTTTCTCTCTTTTTTTTTTCTGGTGTTGTAAAAGTTGCTTTTAAGTATTATGAATATTGGCCTTTTAAAAACAAACGTGTTCAAGTTGGAGGGGGGGCTGCACCAGGGTGTGTCGGCTGCAGAGGAACAAGTAAAGGTTCAACCCACGCTGAAGAGCAGAGAGGAGAAACAACGTTTCGCCTGGAGAAGGTTGTTTCTCCTCTCTGTTTTCCAGCGTGGAATTAACCTTGACTTGTTCGGTTAAAAACAGCTGCCCATAGAAGGTCCTCCTTTTTATTTTAATGGAAATCGCCACCCGGATACAGTGGAGACAGATTTTAATGACGTGAGCTCTGGCGTCTGCCTGTAGTGGTCAATTATGTCTGCTCCAGCCCGGCACAGTTGATTACCGCATTATTTCACCCATTTTGCACCCTTGCAATAAGAGGGTTTTGCAGTCTTTGGTCCTGAAACTTTAGATATAAGAAGATAAAAAGGCTGCAGAAAAGACTGTGACATCCAACACACCAGTTTAGCCGGTACACAGGGTTACTTTTTCAGGACAGGCCTTTATTTAGCTTATGCGTTACTAAAAATGGGAAATGTAGGGTTCTATCAGACGAACATGGCCATAAACGTTTTCTTCTTTACAGAGCAGAGGGGCTGAGAGATTCCATGTCTAAGCCCACTCAGAAGGAGAAGCCAGTTCTCTCCAAAACCAGTACCCAGGCACGACCCTACCTGCCCCTGGGACCAGACTTCTCTCTGCACGACAAACCACAGGCAGTTCGGCCAGTCCAGTCCAGTGAGCCGCAGGGCCAGAAGTACACCGCCGAGGAGATTGAAGTGCTAAGGTGATAGAACGTGTTCTGTTCATGTCCAATATGTAGATAAAAATGTTGAACCAGGTGTTTTAGTGTAGAGAACACCTCGGTTACTCGGGAGATTTCTCAGCGGTACGTTGTGTATAGCACTTCCTGCTACAGTACAGAGCAGCTAAATGAAAAGCCCTGAACTGAGATGACCACTTCAAGGAGATTGTTTGTCTGGGTTCAGGTTCTGGGGGTCAGTCCTGTGTTTTAGTGGCAATTTAAAAATAAATAAATGGGACAATATTGGTGGGCTTGTTGTATTAATCTGTTGAAACAATATTTGCAGCAAAGTTTATAGAGTACCCCATTCGCGGGTTAAAAATGTCTTTAGAAAGAAGCAAACTGTCATTTGATGACAAGGTAAAGATCCTAGAAGCTCTGCAGAACCCACATTGTCCATGTTATCCACTGTTGTGTTTCTTCAAATTCCCAGAGGCTAGACAAGGGTGTTAAAACAGGGTCACAGTATGTCAGTCCAGTCCCCTTCCCTTGTGCTGTGTTTTATTTCCACCCATACAGCTTCAAACTTTCATCTGCTGCTATTGCAGGAATCAAAACACAGTACAATTACAGCACTGCTCTGTATGCTTGGAAAGCAAAATTACTGGAAGGGCAGGCATAAGACATGCAGACAAGTTTTGTTGTGCTCTAAATACTTGTTCTGAGCAATTAATCTGTAGCACTAATTAATTAGGCTTCTAGTATTGATTAACTGTGCTTTACCTTAGATGTCTTTTTTTTGTTTTGCAGGCAGACGTCGAAAATCAATGGCATTGAATATGTGCCTTTCATGAGTGTCGATCTGAGGGAGCGCTTCGCCTTTCCTGTCCCATTTTCGTAGGTTCTGTGTGTTCGGAATGTTTATTTTTGTATTTTAGCATTTACAGCCACAGAATTGTGTGCAGGCCGCTTTTGATAAGACACCGGTTTTGAGAGTTGTGCCAATTCTCTCATTATTATAGCTGGCTGTTAATTAACTCAGTCCTTTTGGGAAATTAACAGCAAATGTGTTCAACCAACAGCGACTTGTTTTTGTTGGCGGTTATCTCAAGTGCTCAGGTTGTAGTTTTTAAAAGCCAGGACCATGCTGAATGCCTGTGAGCTGCAAAGCAGCCTCGTCGCACAGCACTGCCTCAAAGTTTACGCAAGAGAGCCGCCATGTCTTACCGGAGTAGAGTACATGAAGGAAAATGGTCCCACTTTTCTTGAATGAGGTGAAAAAAACTCCTTAAAAATGAGTGGATAAGCACTACACAGAATTACAGTACAAGAAGTAGTAGGCTACAAAAGCGTTATGTTTTTTTTAGTCTCCTTCAAGCAAAACATGATTGGAAAATGCCTCTTCTGTATTTCTTGTCTGTCTGCTTTTCACTGTTTCCTTAATGTCTGATTGTTTTAATAATAATAATCCACTCCAGTGTTTGTAGTAATGGCAAAGAGCAATGTCAGGAGAAAAAAACACAATGGAGTCTGCATCACTGCCCTGCACCTGTGTTACAGAGACAAATCTGGCAAGTTGGCCCTTTCTCCCAAGCAGAAAGCAGTCTTTTCACGATGGGTTCGACCTGATGACATCTGCAACAACCCCACCATGATCTTTACAGTCTCCAGCTTCAGCATCAAACAGGTGAGAGGAGTGTGTCCTGAAATCACCCGGCATTTGAGCTCGGGGATCTGGAGCTCTCTCCTTGCGCACCAGGGCAAAGTCATTGATCGACTGTGACCAGGATTTCACAAGTGGCTGTGAAGAAGTGTTGAGGAGCCATGGGATTCTGGCCGGCTTTAGCTGGACGCTGTTCACTTAGCTCTTGAGTCAGCAGTGACCAGGAGCCTGCAGGGCAGAGGTGGCGTCAGTCACAAGGCACTCTGGGGTGTGGCAGTATGTCACAAGCCAAATAACTCCACCAGATGTTGGAGAGTCACGACTCTCCTTTTCTCTGTGTGGTTCCGGCTTCGCAGCTGGAAAGCTGAATTGGAAAAACAACTGACAGCTCCAAATTTGACAGTACAAGCAGGGCTGAAGAACAGGGAGCTGAATGCCTTTACACCAGTTACTGTTATATCCTGTCCAGAGTGTCTCCTACTGTTGTGTACTGGCATAGGCTCCGGCTCCCCCATGACCCTGTACTGGGTAAAGTGGTTAGACAGCTGAGCATCTAGGTTTTTCCACAATGAATTTCCTTTGCTAGTTCTCCCTGCTGCACTTGTCTACGCAGTATTAGTCTACTAGTATAACACTGAAAACTCCAAGCAGCTTCTTGTTGTGCCTGTTGACGCCTGGAACCGAAGCTGAGGCTGTGGAGTTACCGTGCACAAGAAATTTCCACATGACATACTTTCCTGGTTCAAATATGCATTGCTTCGCACATTTGCTTTTAAACTAAAAGAGGTTGTTTGTACAGAAACAGGCAGGTCTCTTAGGAATGGAGAACAATCCAGTAAGCTGTCAGTAGGAGCCAACAGCTAGGGTGGGATTCTGTTCTGTATCTTGCCTACCCCTGGAGGATTTTAGTACATCCTGCAGTAGTTCAGTGTTTCTTTACAGAAGCGCAGTGCTTTTCAAAGGCGCATCTGCTGCTCACTCATGTCTGACTTAAGGATGTAGCTGTAAGATGCTGTGGTACTCTTATTCAAATCTGTTTTTAAATTCAGATTCCTAAGAGGATATCTTGGCCGGATGAAATCTCTGACCTTGTTTAGGAAATGGAGGATATACAGTATGACCATAGAAAAGAACAATGCTATATGGATTTTATTTTTGTTTAATACTCCAACTCTGAGGATTTTCACAGAATCCCATGTTTTTGTTGAATCCCCAAACAAAATTATTATTCTGTTGATTTGAATTTATCGTTTTTTTACTGTGATTTTCTGGGAACAGTAAAACAAACCTCCTTGCATCCTTGTGATGGCAGATGATACCCTGAAAGGGATGCTGGTTTCTTATGGTCAATTCATCTGAACAAAGAATTTCACTGCCATCTCACTTTCTGATTCTTTTTTTCTAATCTACTATAATCTGAATAGATCAATTTCAGTAGGTCAATCCAGTGAACACAATGTAAGTTAATAAAACCCCCTTTTTTTTTAGACAGTGGTATCTGACTGCTCATTTGTAGCCTCGTTGGCCATCAGTGCAGCGTACGAGAGACGATATAACAAGAAGTTAATCACAAGGTAAGAGTCTTAGTCTTCTCTTAGTAGCAATCAGTATGTCCAGGACAGTTAAATGGAAGCACACCTGTATGTGTGTAGGGCTGTAGCAGTCAGGAAGAAGCTCCTGTTACTGAAGCTGACACCCTGGCTTCATTCAAGAAGGCTGGAGAGGGCACTTGGCTGCAAGCAATCAAAAAGGATTCTAAGCTTTTTGTTTCACTAAAATGTTATTGTTATCCTGCTGTTTTAACATCAACCAGTATTCGTTTCCATATCTGCTGTACCCACTTTGTCTTTTATTATTTTGCCTATTTTGTTTTACTTTTTGTGTGGGGTTGAAAAGTGTAACGTTTGCACAGTTCTGTAAATCTTTTGAATGTACTGTAAGGCACTGTAGGTAAGAGCATCTGCTGAACAGCATTACTACTCATACTAATGTCTTGACTTGCCAACGTTACTTTCAGCAGCTGGTCATGACGTTGATGTTTCTCTGGCTATTTTATGCAGCATTATATATCCTCAGAACAAGAAGGGGGAACCAGAGTACAACCCCTGTGGAAAGTACATGGTCAAGCTGCACATTAATGGAGTTCCCAGGAAGGCAAGTGCACACAGTTCTGAACGTATCTAGCATGAAGGGTTAGGAATGCATTTACTCCGGAAAAGTGAGAGAAAAAAAAGTCTAGAGCACACTTCTGAACGATTTTCTCCACTTCAGAGCAGGGCCTTCGGAAGCCAAAGGGTTTCAGTGTCGTGATTTTAGGCTTGCTAAAAACAGCTCCAGCCGTTTCCTCGCACCAGAAGCAGGCTCTCAGAGCTGTGATGTTGTTCTGCCGCCAGGTTGTTATCGATGACTACTTGCCGGTGGATCGCAATGGGGAGCTGCTCTGTTCCTATTCCAGCAATAAGAATGAGCTGTGGGTGTCTCTCATCGAGAAGGCGTACATGAAGGTCATGGGAGGGTACGACTTCCCCGGCTCTAATTCAGTGAGTTACAGCGCCGCCTCAACGTAATCACCGCTCTTCCATGTGAAGCAAACGTCTTGGGAATCGAGCGCTGCTTTTCTTTTCATTGTATTTTCATTCTAGTTGTCATAGAAGGCCCTGTGTTGTTATCAGAGTTCCTGTCTACCGTTAGAAGGAAGATGTCGTGGCCAATGAAGCAGTTTCCTAACATTTCGTGAAAATTAAAAAGCCTACCATATGTTTAAAAGCCTTCTATAACCTTTTCATCACCTCTGGTTAATCCAAAAGCATTACTTGCATTCCTAGTCATTACGATTCTATATCATGCATAAAAAGTGTTTTTTTATATTAGTTCCCACTGGTGGTTCATGTCTTACTAATAGTGCAGGCATCTTGACAGTAAGGGAATAACTCACAAATACCTGTCATACACTGTGATTTGTTCTGTAGAACATCGACCTTCATGCGCTCACAGGCTGGATTCCTGAGAGAATTGCTATGCATTCTGACAATCAAGCTTTCAGTAAGGACAGCACGTTTCGAATGCTGTATCAAAGGTAAGCCTGTTGTCTTCCTGATTAGTAACTTTTAGAACAATTTGACATTAAAATATCTAAATATAGGGTGTGCATTTGAGTTATAATCCGTTGTGGTCTTTGAGTACACAGCACATGTTCAATAAGCTTATCAGACATCAGTCCCTGAAAAAAGTAGTTTGATCTCATACGTATATCCAGTGTTATTTCAAGGATTCGCCAAACATGGGTGAACAGTTACTGTTGATTTCATAGCACAGTAAAATGATTGAGTAGAAAGTGAAAGATCTCTGAAGCTGTAGGACAAGTCAGAGTAGAAAAGGAAATGATCACGGGAGGTCTCGTAGATGTGAAGGATCGGTAGCCTTGACTTTGTGGGACTTGCACTGACACAGTTGCAAGTCAGGCGACAATGATTCGGGGTATACTTATTGCCACACTCCCCAACGTTAGGTTTCACCAGGGCCACGTGCTGATCACCACGGCGACCGGGGTGATGACGGAAGAGGAGGCCGAGAGATGGGGCCTGGTGTCCACACACGCCTACGCAGTCCTGGACATCAGGGAATACAAGGTACTGAGCAGAGAAGTTCTGAGAGTTGAAAGTGAGGATTAGAGAAAGTTCTTCAATTAACACGATTCAAAAGCTTTGTGTAGGAGAAAATTCTTAGCTGTAAAATACTTAAAAACGTGTTTTCACATTTGTGTTTACACGTTGATGGAGTCTCCAAGTGTGGGGTGAAGTATTTTAAGTGCCGAGATCAGTTAAGCATTTGCAAGACGCCTGTCTCAAGAGCGCAGTCAGTAAAGTAATAAGAGCCAGCTGCTTGATTACAAATCATCTGTATATGGGGAAAAACAGGGCAGTTAGCATCTGCAGCTCACTATGGGTGCAGATGGCAGCCATAGTGCGCCAGAACGCTCACTACACACCAGCTCTCAGTGGGGAGGCGAGCAGAGTGATGAAGCCAGTTCAGAGAGGGGGGTTATTAGGAGGCCGTGACGAGTAAAGACCAGGGGGAAATTTGGCCAGGACGAAGGGGTTAACACCCCTACTCTTTTCGAGAAACGCACTGGGATTTTTAATGACCACAGAGAGTCAGGACCTCGGTCTTGCGTCTCATCCGAAACACGACGCCTTTTTGCAGTGTAGTGTCCTCATGACCGTACTTAGTTTTTCCCAGGAGTCTCCCATCCAGGTACTGGCCAGGCCCACACCTGCTGAGCTCCAGTGGGCTGCCAGCGGTGAGGAGCAGGGTGTTGAGCTGCCCGGGTTATAGAAAGCGCCCAGGGAATTGAACTGCAAGGCATCAGTGCTCACCAGTTCCCCACGATTACAGATTACGAGCCCTGAACAGAGGTTCCAGCAGTCTTCAGGTCGAAGCCTTGTGACATCGTGCTGCGTCTCTCTCTTCTAGGGCAGTCGGTTTCTGCAGCTGAAAAACCCCTGGAGCCATCTGCGGTGGAAGGGCCGCTTCAGCGAGCGGGACGAGAAGAGCTGGACCCCGGAGCTCCTCAAGTACCTCAACTTTGACCCCAAGATGGCCCAGCGGTTCGACAACGGTACCGTGAGGGGGGACGGAATTGGAAAGATGAAGCACTTAGTTTAAAAAAAAAAACTGTTTTGATATTCAGGCGACCTTTTAATGCTGAACGTCAAAATTAATATTTTGTCCGGTACATATTAAAGATGGATGCCAGGTGTAATTTTTTCAGCTTGGTAACCTGGTAATCATTTGCAGCGTTCTTTTATTGACTATTTCTTTTTTAAGTTTTGTGAAATATCAAAGAATTGAGGCTGTGCCGCCAAACCTTTGTACCTCTTTCCACCTGCATAAGGAACGAATGTAGTGAGAAGTAAAACTGCGAGTGGCATTTTGTCATATCCCCTCTTCCTGCTGTGGAAACGGGCTTGAAGAGAATGGCGGACTGTGGGGAGGCCGGCCAGGTGTTCCTCTGTCAAACGCTCTCTTGCTCTTGTGTCAGGGGTCTTCTGGATCACATGGGAAGACCTGTGCCAGTACTACGATGTCATATACCTGAGCTGGAGCCCTGTGCTGTTCAAAGAGTCCTCCTGCATCCACAGGTCAGCCACTCCTCTGCCTCTGGCCTTCCTCACGTCCCGTGGGGGTGGGAGTGAGGTTTTGCAAGCCTGCTTGTTTCAAGTTGCCCTTTAGTTGCTTACAAGACACGTGGGGAAAGACCCTTGTGAGCACAACCTCTACGCTAAAGAGTCATGCATTTTCTCATGAACGTTTCCCAAAAGCAATACTTCAAAATCTTGAATTTTACCCAAACTGAGCCCCGCGTCATAATAGAGCCTTTAAAATTCCGTTGAATCTGTCTCACTTCAAGTTTTATACGCCTTCTTCCCAGACAACAGTGAATGGTTATTATTGAGCTTTTCATCTTCCCCATTGCAGTGCCAATAGATTTCAGATTTAGGTGTGTGTGGGCATTGACTGATTTCATTTGGTATGTTTTAATGATGGCAATGAGAAATAAGAATGGTCTATTGCTTTTTTGTGTGTCACAGCACCTGGGAAGCCAAGCAGGGCCCAGTAAAAGATGCCTACAGCCTGGCTAACAACCCCCAGTACAAGCTGGAGGTGCAGTGTCCACAAGGGGGCGCTGCAGTCTGGGTTCTCCTCACTAGGCACATCACAGACAAGGTACCGGCCTGCGCGGGGACTGTGGGGAACCGTGTTTTAATCTTTCACTGAGCGGCTTGCATTTATTTTTATGTTTTTATTTTTTAAATTGCAAAAAAGAAAAGGTTGGACGGTTTTTCTAATACAATAGTTTAAAAAGATGTTTGAAATCATAATATCAGGTGTTTCAGACGGAGGGTGGTACCAGATGGATTGCATAGGTTTTCAAGAGACTGCTTACAGTTTGAGGGGAGCTGTGTGATAATGGAAAGGACTGTACGTCTGAGACTTAACTGGCCAGAAACTGAATTGCTGTGACTCCTGCAAGTAACAGTTTATTTTAGGAAATTATAAAGTGCAGTTGATATTAATTGTGCATGTTTGAAAGAAAGAGCTCTGAAGTTGTAGTTTTAAAACATGGATTCACAGTGTGGTCTAAAAGGTGATTTATTTATTTTTTTCTTCTTTTCTGTTTGTGATTAAGGATGACTTTGCCCAGAATCGAGAATTCATCACCCTTGTTGTGTACAAGACAGACGGGAAGAAAGTCTACTACCCTTGTGAGTACAGGAGTACAAGTTCCATGTCTCAGATCCGTACCTGTTCCCACATGATGGGATAACACTGAGTTAAAATAACTCTCTACAAACCCTAGCAAAACTGCTGTAAGGGGCTTTTTCATGTGGCTAGTTCTGAACTAGAAAAGGAAAGTGAGTTTTAACAAATCAAGGCGCAGAATAATTAGATCATTATTTAGCAATAGGCCCTTTGTGTATAATGTGTTGTTTTCAAATTTGACCAATTCGTAGTTGCCATGTGTTTAATGTTTTTCCTGTATGTCTGAATGTCCTGGACACTTTCAGCCCCATGCATTTCTAAAATGGTATCTTCCTGAAGTCGAGTGTGCAGAACGTGTCAGTGTAGCTGCTAGTCGAGTGCAGGTGTATTCACACAGGAGCACAGCTGTGTGTGCCATTCTCAGACCAGCCCCTCGGTCGGTGGGGCTCCTGCTCTCCTCACTTGCTGCAGGCGAATAGGCGAACACTTGCTGTCCCCGTTCCCCTGGTATCCTGCCAGCATGTCAAACTGCGCGTCTGGTTGACTCATGAAACCGACTGAAAACAAGCTTTTGTTTTTTCATGCATGAGAAAGCGCTGCTTTAAAAATACACCCAAGTCACAGAGACGGTTCCCAGCTGCTTAAAAAGCCATTGCGATGTCTTTCTGCAGCAGATGATTAACACTCCGAACAGGATACAGAATCTGCTTCTGGCAGAAGTGATACCTGCTAAAGGGCAGTTTAACCACATATGTAGAAGATTGTACACTCTTGTGAGCAACATGAAATGTAAATGCTGGCTTTTGGTATTTTCATATTGATGCGACGCCTTCCACATGTATGCGAGTATCATGGTTTATTTTGAAAACAAGCGTTTGATGCAATGTGTGCTGTCGAAGTATTTATCCATATTAAAGCACTAATTCCTTTCATTTTATATGGGTGTTTTGCAGCAGAACAATGTTACAGTTACTGCAAACTTGCTACTGCCATGGGTGATTCACAGTAATATTAGTCTCCAGCATGTACTACACCTGGCTGGGTGATTCTCGCTGGGTGCGAAGTATTTTCTTGGGCTGATAAACGTGTTTGTTCATTCAGAGGTCTAAAACCTGCCACCCCTCTTTTGCAGCCGATCCTCCCCCATACATCGATGGGATTCGTATCAACAGTCCCCACTATCTGACCAAAATCAAGCTGACGAGCGCGGGCACCCACACCTTCTCTCTGGTGGTGTCGCAGTACGAGAAGCAGAACACCATCCACTACACGCTGAGGGTAAGTGGACCGCCAGGCTTCCAAAGCACTGCATGGAGGTCTGAGTCGCTTTGCAGAGCTCTGAAGACGTCCATTGTGTTTCTGTCGGTATTGAGAAATGGACAAATCCAAGCGCTATCCATTGAGCCCCGTGAGCACACAGTGGAAACGCTCAGAGCCACATTCTCACCCCAGCGTAAGTGCGTTCAGCTACACGTAGATTGATTTGTGAGAAATACAATAACTGACATTGAGACTTCGGAAAAACGTTCCAGACGTCCTGTCCTAAGAAAAAGAATATTATGTCTGCGTCATAGTATTGTGAGATTTTCAAGCCCATCTTATACAGAAGCAGATCCTTTGGACAGAGAGAGATTTACTGCATAATAACAGTTTTATTTCAGTAAAAAAAATAACGTGGCTGCATCACCAAACCTGCATCAACAAAGTGAATACAGGGTCCCCTCAGGCCTCCGGATAGATCTGTACGACGTCTTTGAAGCTCCAAGTTCGTCAAAAAGAAGAGAGCGTTGGGGAATGGGAGCCTCGATGCCACTCAGCTTTGACTGTGTGAATTCATTCTTTCAAAAGCCATATTTATAGCCTTCAGTACTTCGCGTTTGCATCAAGGATTTTAATCTTGAATGCTGTTGGAGGCGTTTGAATGCACAGGCCCAGTATGAAGTGGGCAGTGTCCCAGTTATGTCTGTATGACAGAAGGAAGGATGCAGTCGGCCACATGGCGCAGTAATTAGCATAAAAGAAGCCTCCAGCAATATGTTGCCTCTTTGATCTCAGAAATGGCTGTCAGAAACATGATGCGCGCCCTCCGAAGTACAAGCTTGTTAGAGTTTTCTTTTTTTTTGCCAACGAAAAATCTAACAAAATAAACACAGTTATAGTTAAAATGTATTTGCAAGTGCACACTTAAAGCCTAAAGGCAGGGTCTCTTAAACATTCAGATCATCTGTTCAGAAAAGGGGAGAAGCATTTCTCTTTACAAGCTGTTTTTTCTAACCTAAATCATGGATGTCAGTATACTGTAAATCCCTTATTTTCAAGAAAACTGTGCAAGAGATTATCTTGTGCCTAAATCTTATTAATTTATAAAGGGCATTGTTTTGCTGGTCTTGAGATTTGCTGAGTCCAGAGAAAATGTTGTTTAATCAATTTGAATGCATTAAGAAACAGGCTACCAGCTGGGTTACCTACAGCCTCAGATGTTGTTTCTGAGATGGTCATCAAGCCAGTTCTGATAAGCAAATGCCAAGAAAAACAAGTTTTCAGAAATACATGTTCAGTGTGTCAGGAGCAGTAGAGTTTGCGGCTCGTGACTATCTGTGCGATTACCATTATAATTGTAGAGGAATAGAGACTGGTTTAAGCCAAAGTCTGTGCAATTATTATTATATTATCATTTTTACCTTTGATCATAAATTACACTGCATGGTAAAATATATTTTAAACAACAGTATTGTTTTCCTATAACAATACAAATTTCTTGAATTTGTACAGTTCTTTCCAAATAGGATGGTACAACACCTGGGAGATGTGGCGTTAATAATACTTAAAGCTGAAAATCGCTCTGTCCTCTTAGTAGAATATGTTCCATTTGCACAGATTGTTTGTTACTTTTGTCAGAAGTTGCATTAAACGTCAGATTGAATGGCCACATTTGACTTATTCCTAAAATGATTTTTTTTTCAAACAGGTGTACTCTGGATGCAAGTTTAATTTCTCGAAGATCCCTACTCCTTACACTCACTCGAAGAGGGTAAGTGCTCGGTAGACTCAAAGGCTACCACTTCGGAAAGAGGAACCGGGTATGAAAATATGATACCCACTGAAACACTCTAAACTGCCGTACGCTCAGTGGTATTTATTCCGGTTTTCAAAGTGGTCACGTTCTCATACTTCACTGAATGAGTCATTTAAAAAAATGGGGAAGTTCGTGGAAAAGTAGCAACCACCTGTAGAATAGCCAACGTCTTGTAAAACAGCTGTTTTGTTGCTTCCCCAGTCTGGTTATCCTGCACATTCACGCTGGTCCCTGAATAAAAGCCTGGGAGCCGCGCTGTGCGCAAGGCTCAGCAGTGTTTCTGGGCAGCAGTAGATTGCCACATGGCGGCCGTGGACGCCGGCGACCAGCCCTGCCACTACCGGAGTGCCTCACTGCTGTCTCCACAGGTCAACGGGCAGTGGAAAGGTCAGAGTGCCGGCGGCTGCGGGAACTACAAAGAGACTCACAAGTACAACCCCATCTACCAGTTCCAGCTGGAGAAAGCGGGGCCTCTCCTCATTGAGCTGCGGGGCTCCAGGTCTGTGAGATAAATAGTCCAATGATGCGCGGTCTTCCCCAGTGCCGTCGGAGGCCTGGCGCCGGGCTCTCGTGGCGCACTATCAATACGCTGCCCTTGATGACCGCGGAGCGTCGGGGCTGGTGAGGCGAGCTAGGGGATAGATTGCCTGTGCACACGGTGCCTGGGGTTGCCTCATGTCTTTCCTGAAATAGCAGTGTCTGTGCTGGGCAGTGTGTGCTGTACTCTAAGGCCCAGGTTTATAATGGGATCTAGGCCATGTGAGTCGAGCATTGGGTTTCACAGCAGTTCAGTGATTCTAGAGACCCCAGTCTCCCTTTCCTTTTGATTTCCAGAGCAATACCTTTCTGAGCTTTTTTCCCCCTCCAACATTTCATAAGACTGTTAAAATATCTGTTTCTGTTTTCCCCGTTGTTGAAAAACAGAATTCGGCATTTTAAGAGACACCCTGCTAGTGCATGAACTGTTTTTAATTCAGAATGATTTTTCTCGTCTATGCAAAGTTGTGTTTGAGAGTGAGGCATGTCTTGATCGTTCTTATGGGTTGAGTGCATCTAAAATTAATCTTGTGCTTCAGCTTCTTGAATCACTGCGCTGAGAATGCATTACAGTCCAGGTCATTGAACTCTGCACACACTATACAGTATAAGAATGGGTTTAACATCTTCTAAGCTCTGGAGGAGGAGGTGATAGCATGCCAAGCTGTATGACATTGTCATACATTTAGTAATTTCATCTTAATGAAATCTTAAATACACAACAAAACGTTTGTTTTGAGTTATAATCTTCAATTCATAATAAGTAAATAGGCCAATGTATAACTGGTTCGTCAAACATCCAGTTATTTTATTTTTAAGCAGTCAGTGGATCACTGAAGAAATTATATTGCTTCAACAGAATCACCTGCTCAGAAGCTCAGTCAGTGGTTTATTGTATGGCCACAGAAAGTACTTGTGTATGTTTGTAGCATTAAAGCTAATTGGGGTTCAGTAGAGAGAGTTTCTGACCTCGCTTTCCTTAACATTTTCATAAAAGACAAAGCAAAAGGGTATGAGGACAACAGCAGCGTCCATCAGCAGTATCCAGCCCAGTATTTGATACAGAACAAGTCTTTATCGAGTGTCTGTTTTCAACCACCTCTTTATTGTTTGAAATGGAAATGGAGAGCTCAGCTGAAAAACTAGAGAGAATAAAAAGATCATAACAAACCCTTCCTGTTAATAACTTAAACACAGAGGGCAAGCAGATTTAATCGTAATGTGTATTTTTCACTGAGATTGTTTCATAGCCTCTGTGTTCAAAAGACATGGTTGCTCATTCTGGGAAATCCAGGAGGCTGTTTTGGCCATTCTCCAAAGCCTTCCCACAGGAACAAGGATCTTGACCTTGTAAACAGACTTTCTCTCATTGCATGGGAATTGGGATTGTAGTGAAACATGATGACGTTAACAAGTTTTCAGTGGCATTTAAATGACATTCGTAAGAGTGAATGACTAAAGCTGAAACACGTAGAAATCTGTGCAATTTGACCTCTTTGACCAATTTGATTTGTTTAGTTTAGTGCAGTTTCACAACCATGTTTTTTTAAAACTCCTAGTAATGTAATGTTTTTGATGCCGCACCAGTTTGACTTTTCATTGTTTGCCACGCTTCAAGAAGCAGACAATGTGCTCTTCCTGATTTAAATGCTCGTGGACCCATACCTGACCCTTTTGGAAAAGCTATGAAAAAGTTGGGGGGGTTTTCCCCATCACAACAAAATGTTTCTTGTGTTTCACTTCTGCGGGACTGAGGAGAGTCTCATCAGCAGCAGGGGGCGCTGTGCTTGTTGGTGGTAGTTTCTAAAGGGGAAGGGGGTGCTGGAGCTGCCGGAGGGGCGCCGCAGGGGGACTCCGGGCTCCAAGCCTGAGTTGTAGCTCTGAGCTGGACTGTAGGCCTCCTGGCTGTTTCTTCTCCCCCTTGCTTTTCACGCTGAGCCCATCTAGAAGCTGAGTTGTGGGGGCGAAAGAAAGAGGCTCCGTTTCTGCAGTGGTTGCCAGTGTTCAAACATGATACCCACTAAGATAAATGAGACTGTCTCGTTATCGTACTACAGGTCTCTTTCCGTAGAATGCATTTTTTAACCCACTTCGCTCTACAAGGTCTTCTTGCTTTGCCGAGTTCATGTTTTTCCTTTCCCTCCTTGTTTCCCGACGATGCTGTGTGCCATGAACGACCTCTCGCAGGCAGTACAGCGTGGGGTTTGAGGTGATCGCGGTCTCCTCCGTGGGGGACCCTGGACCCTCGGCCGCTCAGAAGAGGAGCAGTGGGGATTACCGGTAATTTCCCTCCGGCTCGCCTGAGCTCACTCCACGCCAGTGCCGCCGCCTCTCCTCCCGCTGCCTCTGTGAGCAGGTGTGCCGGGGCGGGTGAGCAGACACAGGACTGCTGCAGAAATCACTCCGCTTGACTCAAAAGCAGCGGAAAATCCTTAAACTTAAAACGACCTGAAAACGTTAAAAGAACATAAGAATGCTGCAGATAGCTGCAGCGGTTTTTACAGAGTAAGAGGTAAATGTGTTAGTTCTTCAAAGTGCATTCCTGTGTTTTAATTGTTACCCATCTTAATATCTCCATAATAACACTGGTATTCCCATTAATAACTTTCTGGAACTTAGTCCAGGTCTTCTTAACAATTCGTGCCTCTGTCTGACATCACTTTACTAATGCGCAGAGTGAGATGAGAGTGTACCCCTCTCTGGCTCCATTTCCTTGAATCATTTATAGATGAACCTGTTAATTTGTTGCCTCTTCACATGACTGTGTTGTTGCTCTCAAATTGTTGCTGCGTTAAGCCACAATCTCACCCTTGTCTGTTGCCTGTCCATCTTTATTTTTGCCTTAGGTGCGGCTTTTGCTACATGGAGGCTGATTGTGTTCCTGCTGGAGTTTACAACATCATTCCCACCACCTTCCTACCCAAGCAAGAAGGCCCTTTCTTCCTGGACTTTAACACTACGACGCCGATCAAGGTCTCTAAGCTTCAGTAAAGGGCATGCCAAAGTCCATGTTCTCAGGACCCACTGACTCAAGAGCGCAAAAGTTGTGGTCCTGGTTAACTTTTAAGCCATCAGTGAATTCAGGAGCTCGTCTGTAAATTGATGTTTATTTTTACTGTTCGTGAAGATGACCCATCTCCAATGGGTCGAATGGCCATGGTCTTTAACCAAAAAAGAAACAATGAAAGAATAACCTACTGACTTTGGGTAAACCTTTTGCACAGCGCAGCAAGTATACTGGCATCTAATACACGTGTGGCTTAATCAAACCATCTACAATCCAAAATAAGCACACCAGATCCTCAGTCACCTGTTTACCGTCATTGTCCTTTTCTGTTTTCAATGCATTGTACCCTGTCCTGCTAGCACATAGATGTACGAAACACTTGAAGTGACTAGCACATGGATTCAGACCCATCTCGGGACAGGGTAATGAACTGGATGTGTCCACGTCCAGCTTCCTGTATGATGTCTTTCTAGCTCCTGGGCTGAATGCACACAGCTTTTTCTTTCTGCTCATTGGTCTTTGTTTTATGATATGAAGGGGCTTCTGTGAATCACTTGAATAGAGTCCAGAAGTAACTTAATCACACCACATAATCAGTGAGCTGGTCAGTCTGAAGCGCAGGAGCCAGGAGCTCTTTTGATTATTTTTATTACAATCCCTTGAATGCTGGAATTTCTGTATTTTTACAGACTCAATATATGTTTTTATGTGATTTTGGAGCATACTTCAAGTAAAGGTATTTTTGTTTTCATTCAGCGTTGCTAAGCACCATTACAGTTAAACCATAAGGTTATGCCTATGCACTAGTAAAGTACACTAAGGTGGCACTTTCTGTTTGTAAAAATCTGTTGATACTATAAAGAGCAAATTAATGGATTAAACGTATTCTGTCACAATAGAGAACTAAAGCTTTGTAAGAAGCTATTTCGTTTACCCTGTAAGATAAAATGTTGATGCTCTCACAAATGTTTATTAGAAATAGAATGAAGTTCTTTTTATCCAGTCTGTTGACTTTTCTTGGTTCTTTCAACCTTTAATCAAACGTTTTCATACTTTGCTGTCCTCATGCTGTTGTTTTTTTGATTGATATCCCCTTAGAAAATAACTGAAAAATGCATGCAGTTAATGGTTAAGTTAAGGCCTAATTATAGTACCCAGATGCAACAGACGACATCCCACAGGGAATCTCTAGCGAAGGACTGAGATCAAGTCGCAAAAATAAATCTAAGAGAAACTCGCTTGGTGCTGTGGAAGGGCTAAGCGTCTTTCCCAAATATCTCACGTCATTGGTTTGAGGAGACATTCGGTTCAAGAAAGGGAGGTTTCTCAATAAATCTGACCTTCCCCATTTCAATCATTTACTGTACAAAACATTACTTATAAAAGGTAACATCCCTGTCCTTAAAAACAAACGTGGACACCAAGTTGACTTGTTATGCAGAAAGTGTCTGTTTGGGTGTTTGAAAAAAATACTCGATTAAACAGTCAGTAGCCAGACTGAGAGGGCTGGTTCGTTGCGAGACAGTGAAGCGAGGATCTCACTAAAGGGTTACTGATAGAAATGACTGAAACATGAGGCTGTCAGAGTCCATAATCGAGAAGCAGCAGGTTTCCCTTGGGTAAAGCCGGTTCATTTATACAGCTGGGTGGACTGGAGCTACTGGGGTACAGCAGCACGGTCTGCAACAGGAACTCGAGCCCTCAACTTGCCTTTTCATTCAATAATAAATGAAAAGGCTCACCCACCTCCCTAAGCCCCCCTGAGACTAACAGCTTAAAAGCTCCACGTGAAGCAGGGGTCTGCTGCAACTTTGATTTTGCACCTGGCTGGCTCGGTGCTGAGAGAGAGAAGGCACGTGGGCTCAACACCGTGTTGCTATTTCAGTTCCTGGCCACACTAGTGAGCTGATTCTGTGGAAAGCTAAACGCCAGTGTGCCCTTTTCTGTGAGAGAGCGTTTGATCCTGAACCTGCTTCTAGATGTGCCTCCGATCTTCCTTCACAGCTCCTATTTGCAAATGATTCACGAATATTCACTGTGGGAGAAGCACGAGTGCAAGGTTTCTTCATTTACAGTATTCCAGTTATGTGGTTTTTTAAGCAGATGATTTCCGAAGCAGAGTTGGTATGTATTATATCTAAGAAAAATCATCTGGAATGAGCTGTATCACTCAGGTTTGATTCTTTAAAACGTGGAGTTGTCATATCAATTATCTGCCCCCACAAACGAGGCTGCACAGCAAGTGTTTGACAGTAGGAGGTTCGCCCTCAGCCCTGGATATAAGTATTATAATAAAAGGTTTGTTTAATTTCCTTTCTTCAAGGGCAGTGTAAGCAGATGACAAAGGCCTTTTAAGAAACAGTCTTGAACTGGCGTTGAATGGAAACGCCCAGGATATCATTATGTCTTTTAAAAAAAAATCTTACTGTATTGAAATTAGTAACAAGTTGTTCTGGTAAACATGCTGTACGATGAGTGAAAGAATGAGAAGTTTAATGATCAAGTTGCACTTTTTTTTATGCTGGCTTGTGAACAGCACTGTGTTGCCATCTAAGTAAATAAGTTCCCCAGCAAAATCAACAATGTTGTGGAGGACAGACAGGACATGGTTTACAACTTTGTTTTCGTTGCTGTTTTTTCCCTGTATTCCCATTCTGAATGTTTTATGGAGAGCTGGGGGCTGACTGCATTCCGCGCTGTTTCTCCAGTAAACTCAAAAGGGTCAGATTGACATTCAAAAGGGCATTGGGTTCAAAAGCAGGCGACTGCAGGAGTCCCTTTGCTCTTCACTACTGGGGACGTCCTCTAATCTCCGTTATGACACAATCAACCAATTGCACATATGTATCAAACCTAGCCATACCAACAGCGTGAGATACTGCTTGTTATAGGGCTATGTTTTTTTTTGCAGTACAGTATATTGTGGCAGACAAAGTGTTATGTTTAAGAACCGGTAACACATTTTCAGAATGTTTTTCAAGTTGAGAACTCTGTACAGAAGTGCTATCAATGAAGAAAAGCTGAATGTATCCAATATATTCATGACTTCGCAATGATTGTCATTTTTTTTTATTGCATTTAAGAAAAACCATCCCTCTGTTAAGTTCAAGGAAAGGAGGTATGTGCTTAAAATAAAGACATGGAAGTTATGTGCTTTGCCATAAAATATCTGCAGTTTAATATTGTGCTGGTGAAAGACAATTGAGAGAACTGGAGGGCAGTGAAAATTACAGTACGGTGTTAAGGGTTCTGTGTCTTGGCATGGTGTGATTCCACAATTCCACAATTGTGTTCCACATGTCTTTTTGCACAGTGATTTGAGATGGAAAGTGACCAGTTCCTGTTTCACTGGGCTCCCTGGAGATCGCAGGGAGGTCTGTGGTTAAGAAAGCATCATGGGAAGGCCGAGAGTCTGAGCTCGGGCTACAGAAACTTGCAGTAATCTTTTGTCTCACAGCATGTGTTCTTGAAGCTTTTGTGTGGATTTTGGCTTTTATTTTTGAGGTACTGTCCCAAACCCTGAAAAATGCTCTAGCTAGTAGAAACTTTCCTTTTTAATCCCAGCCTGTAATTCATCTTAGTTTTCCTGCCTTTAAATCAGTATATAAATACACTGTAGGAGTTAACATGATGGGTTGTGTGTGTTGGAGGTGGCTTTCAAGAAACAAGAAATGTTAGTAGTTCTTATCTTGCAGGTAAGACAATGGGCATTCTTCAAAGTGTTTGATCAGGGTAATTGGAGCTCCACATTTGTCCTTTATCTAAAGGACAGAGCCTAAGTGGCCAGTTCATGTTATCAAGACTTAACGATGACCGAATTGATCAAGGGAGGTCAGTAGGACAGGCCTTTTTGAGGAAGAATTGTGCCTCTATGCAATATACATGAGACTCCACATACCCCTTCCAGAGACACAGAATGATGAAGAACAAGAGGACAATCAAGAATAGAAACTGTGCTGTCACTGCAGGCCGAAACGCTACCAGGTAATTTGAGAACTGATGAAACCAGTCTTGGTTCCAGTACTTTAAATCCTATTTCCTTTTTGTGGTTCCCCAGGTACCAGAAATCTCTTGCTCGTATTGCGATGCATTATTTGTAGAGAGGTTCCCATTTGTTCAGTATCCATTCTGGAGGTGCTTCAGTCCTAAGTAGACTCTTATTTTGTAAGACACAGTCGATACCTTTTTGCCTTATTTGCAGGGCTGAATTCCATTTCCCGGTTCTCTAAAAGACTGGTCCTGGCTCTCGCAAGCCTCGTACGTTATTGTAAATAATGGTGGATGTGAAGTTTGCCGTGTAGTTTATTACAACACTACCTCACTGTGCTGGGAACTACATGTCTTGAGGCTCTGTACTCCTCTGTACTAAGGGGGGGGGGTGTCATTGTTTACTGTTGCAATCTGTCGGGAGCTGATCTTGTATGTAAAATCTCAGTCCCCTTTAATTTGTTTACACCCTGCAGCTTGTAACAGTATAATGGTTATCCGTGTCACACTGGTGACAGGCCAAATTAGAAGTGTCTTTACCCAGTTCTGCTCTTCTCAGCTTCAAACAATGAATCAAACAATGCCCTAAACAACATAGTGCTGCAGAGCAAAAATATAAACATTGTAAATATGACTAAGAACTCATCAAAAAAGAGCCACAGATGAATTAGCTGGCTTTGCTCAATGTGGCTTGTTCTGCTACAGAAATTTCAGAACAGCAGGATATTCCTAAAAATGAAACTCCGAACCATTAACCTAGAAAAGAAAATGGCAATTTTCAATACCTGTCCCTAAAAACAAATCTCACCTATTCCAGTACCTATTTTCTGCCCGCTGAAACTGACAGTTTTGTTTCGGTGATGCAGGATAATTCCAGTGTCTACACCTGAATAATGAAAAGGCTGCTGAAAAACTGTCAAAAAATCTGCTACGTGACTCAGACTGTAAGGAAGCTTTTCACTGTCAAACATTTATATTCCTTTGAACTATATAACAAAAAATAAGCACATTTCATAATCTGAAATGTTCTATGAATACTGTCAGTGTTTATATGTCTTGTAGACATTTATATGTCTTTTTCTCTACATCTGAAAGGAAGCACCGATTGTTTTTAAAACCTCACATTCATATTTGAACTATATGCAAATACATATTCACACCTTTTCAGTTTAGTTGCGAAGAATATGAAATTTCCCTAACCGATTCAGGAAACCTCAAAACAAAAGGCCTCTGATGGTGCCACTGTGATGACTTCTGCCCACTGCTATCTGTTAAAAAACCTTGCCAGAACCCTGCAGCACATGGCCTCAGGGCCAATGGATTTTTTTCCTTCTAGCTAAAAAGCAACTATTGTGCAATGCAGTGAATAGCTGTTTATTGAACACAGGTACACAAGCGTTGTGAGATACTGTACAAGACAATGAAACAGTAGCACAAGAGGCATCTCCTCTCCTGTTTTCATAATAACACACATTAAAAGAAAGTGAAAATATAGATTCATATACTTTACAATACAGTACACATACAGAAGAAAAAGACATTATAAAATAAGGCAGTGCAAGGAAGCAGCTACCGAATGTGGTATTTGAACTCTTGACCAAGTACCTGTTAATGGGCTTTGTGAACTAAGGACGAAGGATGCTCAGCAGTAGCAACCCAAGTCAGCCAAATGAAATCAGCTCAGAGGAGGCTGGGGGTTCATTCAGTTTCGCTTCAGGTAAATCCTTTCAAATTCTGTGCGATGCTTCCAGACAGGAGGCCCCCAGTTCAGGCTGGTTTCCAGGTGAAGCCCTGAATGTCAAGGCAGTCTACAGTCCAGGCAGTGCCACCACACAATTCCACTTGCAACTGGAGAGACTCCCATGAAAGATTCGTGGATACTCTTTTCTTACTGAGCTAGCCGCTCTGTATGACTGATGTTTCTTTTTGTTGTTATAGTTTGGGGACATATTGAAATGTCTTTTAAATGTAAACACCATTTTGTACAGGGGAGACTAAATGGATGGCATTTGGTAAAACACAGATCTTCTTTTTCCCCAGCCATCGCCTAGTGAGCACTGCCCTGCGTCAGTGGGCTGTACTGATGGGCTGGGACACAGCAATGGGACAGACTGGTTGAAAAAGCATCGGGAGACAAAGCCAGTTCCTCACTCGTGCATGCGTCTCTTCAGAGACCGTAAAACTCAAGGAAGTGGCTGGACTGGGTTCACATCCTATTGGCAACACAGAATCCAATTTGGCCAAAGACTTCATTACAAACAACAGACGAACATACACATTTTTAGGACTAAAATTTAAGACTTGTTTTCCTTTGGAAACAGTTCTCCATTTAAGAAGTGACACAAGGACAGCAGCCAGCCAGTGCTTCTACTTGCAAATTATTCTTCTGTAATAATACAGACTTAGGAATTTCACCTTTCCTGGTTCGATCTGTTCAGTACCTGTAAGAATGCAACCTTGGATGTAACAGGTTAGCGTGGAAGTACATCACAGATCCGAAGTAATTCAGTCCATCTTGTGCTTTTCCAGCAAGCCTAATGCTGCCTATACTCTACTCAAGTGTGTCATTCATAGACATGGGCAAGATGTCTCGGCCATGTTTACATTAGGGCCCGTTCAGAGTAGTTGCTCCATGTGTTCTTTTGTCCACATGCTGGTAGTTACAACATCACAGTCCAAACATCATAATTCCACCGCCCATGTCTCATCGTTCACATCAGCAGTCCGATTTCATTCCGTCTCGGCACAACAGCAGTAGACGGCGCGTGACCGAGATCTGAATCATTCTTCGGGCCGCGGTTTACGACAGCAGGACGGCTGGCTGGGAACAGAAAGCGGGAGACGGTGGAATTCAATCCATCCGGACCAGTGAGGTGGAAAATGCAGCGCTCTGTTTTTTCCGGTGTGGTTGGCGATGGTGTGAAAAGGGTCCTCAAAAGAAGAGAGTGGACCGAGCGGGGACGAGTCCGTCCAAACGCAACTGAGCGAGGGCTCAGGGACACAAGGCGAAGCCTCGCCGCCTCCAGAGCCGGCGCGGGAGCACCGGCGCGCGTCTGCACGCAGCCGGGAAAGGAGCGAGGACAGTCCGGGGGCACGTGAGGTTTACAACGCAGATACGAGGTGTACGCATGACACAGAGGTGACCAAGAGCAGAGAAACGGTGCCGTCTCCGGCGCAGGGGCAGTCGTTTCATCGAAGTGTTTGCAACGGGGGGACTAGCAGGAGGGGTGGGGTCGTGAAGAGTAAGCCTTCTGTGGGGTCCTTTATAATCAAGGGGAGCGATTGTTGGCACAGTGGTCCTTGGCACCTGTAGGGCTTCACCAAGACAAGTTCTCCCTACAGCCCATTGACTAACAGCGCCGCGGCCGCAGGGCGCTGGGCCAGGCTGAAGCGGTCTCTCTCGGCGCTCTTCAGGTTGTCAGTCTTTGGGCGCTTTAAGGACAGGCGGCCGAACCGCGCCTCCAGGCTCGTGGCTTTCTTGTGGCCGGCGCCGTTGTTATTATTGTTGCGCGCGTTGTCGGCCTCGTCCTCCGCTCCTTCCGCGCGGTCTCCTGCGCACACGAGACGAGGGCAGAGTAAACGCGGGGTCTCCGGGACATCGCCCCGGATCCACACCGAGACCCAACGCGACGGCCCGAAACAAACCACCGAGGCTCATCCGAGCGGGAACGACCCGGCAGGCTCACCTCGCTCCAGGTCGCACTCCGGGGAGGAGGCCCCGCTGCACTCGCTGCGCGGCCCCAGCACCGGGGAGAGGAGGCCGAAGTCGCACAGGGAGACGGGGCTGGGCAGGTCCAGGCTGCTGGGCCGAGAGGAGACGGAGGAGGAGGAGGAGGAGTAGGAGGTGGGGAAGGGGCTGGGCAGGTCCAGCGGACTCGCGGGCACCGAGCTGAGGCTGCACGTGGACTGGGTCTCCGAGTCCTCTTCCGACACGGCGCTGCTGCAGTTATCCTCGTCAAACACCTCCGAGGTCACTGCAAAAGAAACGCCCAGCTCAAATCACAAGTCAAATTCAAATACACACACATATTTGCTATAAGAAATGAAATATACAGGAATAGCATACTTCATATTTTCGTGTTCAGCTTTACTTTGAATGGCAGAGGAAATGACAGTGTCAACCAAGAGGTCCGGGGTGAAATAAACATCTGACTTGGGAGGAATGAGCCAGGGAGGCAGCTGCAAGGGTGAAGATGGGGTGGAGGAAGGAGCACTACAGAAGAGGCACAAAGCGAGGCGCGGGCGTCTAAAGCTTTACGTTAAATATTATGGACAAAAGGAGTGCAAGATTACAATTTGACCTCCTCCTGTACTTCTATTTAACAGCTCCCTGAGACTGAGCAAGTTCCCCTCCCCCCGCTGCTCAAACGGTTGGAATTTAATGTTGTCTGTGAGACGCGATATTGTAAAGGCCGCCTCAACGGCTCGGTCTGCACTCACCGGACACGGCGTCCGACTCGAGCTTGAAGCCGGACAGGTCGTCCCCCGAGCTGCTGTCGCCCTCGGCGCCCACGCCGCGCCCGCGGGGGCCCATGGCGGAGGAGCGCCTCCGCTCGTGGATCTCGTCGGAGATCACCTCCAGGTTCCGCAGCGCCGTCTTGTAGTCGCCCTTCGCGAGGGACAGCTTGGCCTGCAGCTCGTCCACGTTCTTCTTCAGTTGCTGAGCCGCCGAGAGAAGGGGAGAGCAGAGCTCAAACACCAAGCGCCCGACCGCCAGAGCACGTGGTACGGCTCTCGACGAGGAGCCCCACATGAACGAGTGCCTAACGAGTGCCTAACGAGTGCCTAACGAGTGCCTAACGAGTGCCTAACGAGTGCCTAACGACACCGCGGCTCTCCTAGCTTGCTTACAGTTTATTCTGCAATTACACAGAGCTCTGCCCTTAATAAGGCCTTTTCCAAATAAAAAAAATATTTATTTTATCGGAGCCGAACCGCAGGGCTAAGCAGTTTATTTTATTCCACATGCTTGTTATAAACATAGGCTCACCAGTTATCTCACAAACAGAAACAACTGGGATTATGACACTACATATCCTCCAACACCCACAGTCAAATTCTGACCGAGCAGCACCCAGGCCCAGCCTAACACTGGCATGGGAAGGAAATGACATGCCGGCTCTGTGGAAACCCGTGTAGTATTTGAGAAACCACAATTCAGAATTGGGCAATATCCACCGAGGTAGCTATTAAACCCTCAGACCTGCTCCACAACTATAATCTTTGGGTCAAAGCTTCAACAGCTTTCCTCTCCAGGCTAGAATTATATTCACACTCTGAAACGCCAAAAGACTCGACAGTGCTGTAATAACCTTCGGTCATTACTCTCGCGGACAGATGTATCTTTGTATACAATTTTTTACAAACCTCCAGCTGCAGGTAGTACTTTGCCTTCATTTCAAAATATGGCCTGCAAAACAGAAAGAGACCCGTTAAACCGAGCATAGCGCAACAAAAGGATTGTCATGGTAACTGAAAAACTCAGCAGAAACAGACACCATCTCAACGAGCTGTTACATTCCTCACATTTTACAAGGGAAACAAAGTCCTGCCATAGAGCTTCATCATTTACTGCGTGATTTCAAGTGGAGGCCGCACCTGGCAAGAATTAGGCCCAGACACGATGGCCTGCCAAGACACTGTTAAGAAATAAACCCTAAACCCAGAACTCCGGCCTCATGTGATATCTCAAGTGTCCCACATTAAAACAATGATTCCACATTAGAGGCATGAGAGAGGCTGTTGTAAGGTTCCAGAGTGCCTGTATAATTGCTTGAGAAAACACCCACTTGGTACTGCATCATTTCTGGGGTCAACAAGTCACAAGACACTTACTAAAAAGGCCACGTTTGTGTCCTATGTAAGTCATTCTTTAACCACAAATTACTTCAGTTCACTTGTTACATTATCTAAGCTGCAGCATTCATCTGGCTTTGTCAAACTGCACCACAGCACATTCCTTGCAATAAAAATAAGTCCAGGACAAAACAAGTATCATCTACAATATATACACTTGTTACATGAAGTCAGTTACAATTTAAGTTCATTCCAACAAATAAACACTTCAGCGTACTTTAGAGAAATATGGCAATGAACTCCAGAGCTCCTCTGGAGCTGGAGCTGCAGTGGGAACAGAGCTGCAGTTAATGAATGTGAATCCTGAGGAAATCCTCAGGGAACCAAGTCAGAAAGGCTCTCTTCTCCCGGCACAGATGCTATATGATAAATGGAGCTGTCTGCTTCATACTGCACAACTAGCAGTGTATCTGGCGCACAACACCAATGCTTGATATAATGGCATTTCAGGAAGAACTAAGATTTCATAACTTAAATATTTTCACATTTTAAAGCGTCTATCTGTTTGCTAATTGATTTACTTCAGCTCACTGTTCAAGGGAGCCGAGCCCCTGCAGAGAACTGCAACTCAGAACTCAGAAAGCTAGTAATGGTATCGCTCTCGGTTCTCTTGTGGTGTTACCACACTGGAAACCAGGAACGTGAGCTGCTCGAACGCAGGACAATGAACCCCCTCCCGTCCTCATTTGTACTAAAACATCTACCGTTTCCAGGAGCTTTTGAACAATCGAGACCCCTGACGTGCTCCACATGAGAGAGATCACAATGGAGCGAGGGCCCACTTCGTCACAGCCAATGACGTCGCAGCCCCAGAACACTCGGTGCTGGATGGACTAAATGGCACAGCTCCGCTCCAGTGTGCGAAGGAGAGGGAGGGCCGCCCAGCCGCCCAGCCCCCGGGCCCTTACTCACTTGGACTTGTTGATGGTCCTCTTGAGCTTCTTCTCCAGCTGCTTCATGCGGCTCATGGCGGCATTGTACTTGGCGGCCGTGTCCTTGTGCGCCAGCTCGCTGCGGGTCTTCGTCTGCTCCGCCTCCATCACCTGCAGCGGGGCCAGCAGAAACAGCGCGGTGAGCGGCCGTGGCGGCTGGCAGGCGCGCAGCGGATCATCGCGTCGCTGGCTGTACTGGAAAGGCTGTCCTGGGTGACGCCACCCGCTAAGGTGGTGACCAGAGTGACACCACCACTCAGGACTGCACTCCTTTCCTTGCCAACACCACACGTTTCAAAGCTATGGGGGTTTCTAATTGATCCGTTTTCCAGTGCCGTCTCGGATGCTTTCGCGGCTCCCGGCCCGTGGATTTTCGTGCGGTGCTCACCCTCTCCGTGGCGTGGTTCAGCATCTCCTGCCAGGCGGAGTCGAACTGCCTCTTCTCGTCCTCCAGCAGCCTCTGCTCGGCCAGCGCGATGGTCTCCTTGGCCGCGCGGAGCACCTCCGTGGCCCTCTGGAAATCCTGGGTGGCCTTCTGCGCCTCCAGCTGAGCCTTCGGGGGGGGGAACGGGGGAGCAGAGAGAGTCAGGGGAAAGGAGGGGGGAGGGGGTCTGGGAAGCCGGCTGACAGACGCACACACCGGCCACAACCCAGCGGTGACGGAGCCGGTCTCCCGTGTTCAGCGCCACCTGGCGAAAACACTCTCCATCCCCTCCGCTTTCCGACTCGCAACGCGAAAGCCTTTTAAAACTCTTGTCGCCCCTTTCGAAGGGGAAGTGCAGCGCTACTTTCATATTCCGGGGTTTGAATGAATGATGAGCGCATTTCAAACCACAAAGTAAAATGCTCAAAGTCACTTGTAAAACCTCCTATTTACATCAACAAAATAGACAACATTTCCAGGTACCTGCAGCACCATATTCTGCCAACAAGGCAACAGAACTTCTGATGACGCGTTGTGGCCTTATTACACCGCAAACAAGCAGGCTTGTGAATACGTCTTTAAACTCAATAGAAATACTGCTCTCAACTTCCAGACCGATTTGCCGACACATATTACTTGTTAACTCTGCGTGAACATCATGTTGGAACGTTTCCGTGGTGAAATATCGGCTGCACAACCTGTACTTACTCGCACGTTCATTGCATCACGTGAGTCATGACGGAGACTAGTGAGCAGGAAGGGCCGCTTCACGTCACAATTCTCACGAACCCCTCGCTCGCGCCCCTGGACAGACCAGGGGGTTTGCGACAGCACGGTGACTCACGGTACTTTCACCAAGCTCACAATTGTGTGCGTCATTCGAAATGAGACGTCGGTCAAATTTTTCTAGACCGTCAATGAATTTATTTCGTTGCCGAGGTTTAATAAGCGGTCGACAAAATTGTGACTGCAGCTCCCCTTTAATTATACAAAAGTGATGACATCGTGCATGCCTCGACGCTCACTGCCCAAACCCGAGTGCTCTTGTACAAACAGGGCTCACCCCAAAGACGTTCCATGACATTTCGGAAACGCATCTGAGGGGATCAGAGACAGTTGCCCCTTCTGTCAGCCATCTGTTGTTTTTTACGTGACTAAACTGCCTGCAACTGATTTAATCGTATAATATCCCGATCTGCCAGTGCGAGGAAAATGAATATCTGTGAGAAACCGTGAGTTTTCAGAACTGGAACAAAAAAAAAAATGAGTCATGTAAAAAACGAATAAATGTAGTTATCATTAAAACAATAAGCACATGGCTTAAGGCATTTTAATTACAACTGGTGCCAAAAGTATTAATGACTTTTTGCAAACCAACATTATGCAAGTTGCAGATGTTCCCATTATTTGAAGGGCAATTACAGAACACAACAGACGCAAAAACCAAAAGTCATTCTTCTGCAAAGCGTTTCTGCAACTTTTCTAACATTTAAAGCAAGTAGACTTTGCGACAGCTTGTATCACATTTCAACTATTGTTTGGAGAAGAAAACTGCAATAAAATAATGACTAACACAAGAGCCTGCTTTTTTCGGTGATGTCTCTGGAGGCTCTTAATCATAAAAGAAGTAAAAGTACCGATCTAAAAATGGAAACAGAGCCTCACAGAAGCTCAAGGACTCTATAATACAGTTTGGCCATTCATTCTAAAGTTCCAAAATACCTGAAACATCATGTAAAATCAAGAACATTTTTTCCTGATTCTCTTCTTCCATTAATTAAAATAATGTGTTGGCTTATCCAATAAAGCACTGTGACTCAGCTGAGCTCTCAACAGCTTTTCTGTATTATTTTAGAGCTTCACTGATTAACATGTGAATTATCTCTGACATACTGTATACACTATAGCTTATTTAACGTCAGAGAATTTGTTTGTACTAGTTTAGTTGTACCTGCAGTTACAGGTCAATTTAAATCTGTCCAAACATGGTACAACGACCAGTAAAATGCTCACAAGTTAACTGCATTTTTTTAGTAAGATGCAGAGGAAACTTGTAGTACAAAAACACTGTTGAGACACAAACCTGATAGTTTACAGAAACACCAGCAACCTTTTTAGCAGCAGAAACAGTCTCTTCACTGCAAGGAAAACCTTCCCAAAAGCCATGAGTTAGATCCAGTATGCAGTACAACTAATTGTCCATAGGCCTTCCTTTTCTTATTTAGATCTTGACCCAGACAGACATGTTTAATACTTTAAAACGAAATGGAAAGATTTCCAAGAACGTTAAGTCTTGCCTAATGTGCCTTTAATCATATTAGGTGAATTAAGTGTTTCTAATGCACTGACATGCATTTCACTAAAACACATGCAGACAAGGTCATGAAGGTTTCATCTATCTGAACGCTCTGCAGATCTGTACCCAGAGTTTAATAACAAGCAACCTCTCAACTGCACAACCTAAATTAAACGCTGAGCATCTTAACTCGCATGGGCAGCCGAGAGCTGTGGGTGAAAAACGACAGCGCTGACAGACACACATAAGGTACTTAACAAAACCAGTCAGCTGGAAACCTCACCAGACAGCTTGAGCAATGAGTCGTCCCTAGACGCAAAACCTATTGCCGATCCGGTATTATAATCCCTTACTTTTTTCATAAGTTTTTCAGGCTCTTATCCCAGTCATCACCACACACCAGAAAATCCTTCTGGACAGGTTCTCTCCAAAAAGCAGTTAGTTAACCCTTCAGGTGCAATAACACAGCTCTGTATGAATTTTCTTGGTCTGTGAAATTAATAGATTTTGATATTAATTCAGTAACGCAGAATGATTGGTCTTTTCTAGCCACCCAGGTTGGGTCTATGGATTTATACCTCGATGATTCACCACTGTAGTGGAGATGGGAGGATTTAGAACCTACTCAGAAAAATGACAATTGCTTCTTTACTGACATTTACCATTTTTACCGCAGTTATATTTTCTTTAATATTCTGATGCCATTCCTGAAGCCAATAAATGGCATATGGAGTCAAACAACAGCACAAAGATGAGCAGTCAACAAATTTACACACCAAGAGCAGGCGGTAAAAACTGTAAAAAAATCAGGAATGCAATAATTTCTAAAAAGCACACTCAAAATGACCAAAACAAAAGGAACGATTCTCTATTTGCATTCCTTAGGTAATAACTGAAGCAAATAATTTCATTTCACACTGGCAGATGTTGCAATGTGGATGTCATGCTTCATAATGCAATTGTATCACCCACCTTCACTGTTTGATATGCATTTACAGGATGGTTACTGTGTGCCTGAGGAAAAGTCTACTCATTATCTTTTAAAAACAGTTGAGAGATACAAAACCCTCAATTTCTGTTCAGATGCATGTCGGGTATTTCAGAGCACTCATCAGAACAATAAACAATGTCCCTGTCCCCTCAACAATGACACACAAGTGTAATAACTGCTAATCTGTTAGATTAAAAATGCACCATATGAGAACAGAAGATCTCACTTTGTAAGTCCGGCTAACAAATATCTAGCCTATGGTATCTTTTCAGTAATGGCAGACAACAGAAGACCAAATAAATCAGGTACTAACCTAAGCCTCCAAGTGTTTTGGCATACAGCTATCTCCTCACATTTCATCTGAGACAAGAAGGACAGCTAGGTTCAGTACATTTAATTTCTGGTAGTGCTTTTTCTGCACTTTTTGAAAACAATTCAACAATTATTTTAAGAAGGTGCATCTCAGATCTATTCCTACACATGAGTCATATGCTACTGTATATGGTAAATGTTAAATCCATCGTGGTTAACATGGGCTTCTTACTGCACATATAACGCCGTTCATACAGAAAGTATGGGCCCATTGCATGCTGAAGAACACAGACTCGTCACAGACACTCACAGGGCGATCGACCAAACTGAGGAGCAGCTGGCATCAAGGAGCGTGGGGATCCCGGGACAAAGCACCCAGAGGTTTGGACAAGATGTATAGTCGGCGTTTAAGGACCTTAAACGGCAGACGACCCTTATTGTCATTGTATTAATTATCTAACTGCTTCAGCACAACTCTTCCTTTTACTTACTGTAAGTACATCTAAAGTAAACCCAATGTATTGCAAGTTGTCTTGGATATGGGAAATAATATACTTATCACTATAAAATGAAATACCTTTTCTTGCGGGTATGTTACCCAAAATTTATATTATCCGATTCTATTATTTCTCAAATATTTTTTTGGTTGTTGGTTGAGTTATAAATGTAAATACGCATCTGTCATTTCAAAGGCAGGGAAGGACCAAAGGCAGCAGGACTCTTGTAGCCCGAAATACATTCATCAGAGCAGGAGAGAAAAGTAGAAGTGTTTCACACACCCTCTTCTTTAAATTGTCAAGTGAATTTTACACGATTAACAGCCGCCTGCGGTGTTTCTAGTACAGCCTGCCTCTAAAGGAGCCCCTAAGGGAGGGGGAGCCCTAATCGAACCTCTTGCCTGGCCTGCTGGGTACGAATCAGAGCTCCGATCCCTGTCCCACGCTGCTGCTGGCAGCACTGTGTAATCTTCTGTCCAGGCATTTTTCACTGTACGGTAAATGTGATACAGGTTGCTCCACTAAGCCCCTATGGGAAAAGAAATGCACGCAATACCAGACTTCTAATTTATTATGGCAACACTATAATAAATTGTATGACTGCGTATCCTAAGATCTAGACTGCTACCTGCATAAAAAAACTCTGTTACGATGTTATGTGTGACATTAAAATTAAAAAAGCTGGAGTGCAAGCTAACGAAAATGTATTCGATATTGTGCATTTGTAAATGGATAACGTACCAGTCAAGCTTCTGGTCATGAAATCATTACGTGCATTTACAGCAAAAATTATTCTCGTCAAAAGCAATCCATTTTGTTTCAGGCCTCTGACAACGTTATGCTGCACATAAGCATCTTCTGTGCAAACTAAGGTTAAAATAACAGATTATTGAAAGCTGAACACAAACATATGCCATGCATTGGCCAGTAGTAACAGCCATGGTGGCTAAAAAACACACACTAGGGGTATTTCCACAAAAATATTTCCGGAAACCACCAGATAAAATTAAACACGTTCTAGGCAATTTAACCA